TCCATCTCTCTCTGAGTATCTCTCCCCCATATCTCTCTCTCAGTATCTCTCCCCCATCTCTCTCTCAGTATCTCTCCCCCATCTCTCTCTCAGTAACTCTCCCCATCATGTCTCTTCCTGTCTCCCCCTCCCCCCCTCCCCCGCTGATGTAACGGTCCAGCCCTGATGTAACTAACGATGGCCATTAGCCCGGTACTGACTGATAGATTCGGGGGGCTCGGCAAAGGGGCAGCCAGTAACCCCCCTGACCCAAACCCGACAACAGGGTCCCAGTTCCAACAACGGCCTCTGCTGTGCCAGGGCCTGAAAATATAGAAATGGAGGAGAGAATGCGTGGGGGGACACAGACAGGAGATGGATACTGGGGGGGGGACACAGACAGGAGATGGATACTGGGGGCACACAGACAGAGAGATGGATACTGGATACTGGGGGCACACAGACAGGAGATGGATACTGGGGACACAGACAGGAGATGGATACTGGTGGATACTGGGGTGGATACACAGGAGATGGATACTGGGGGGCACAGACAGGAGATGGATACTGGGGCACACATGACAGGTGATGGATACTGGGGCACCTGAACAGGAGATGGATATTGGGGGACACCCTGAACAGGAGATGGATACTGGGAGGGCACACAGACAGGTGATACTGGGGCACACAGACAGGTGATGGATACTGGGCACACAGACAGGTGATGGATACTAGGGGTGGGCACACAGACAGGTGATGGATACTAGGGGTGGGCACACAGACAGGTGATGGATACTAGGGGGGGCACACAGACAGGTGATGGATACTAGGGGGCACACAGACAGGAGATGGATACTAGGGGGATGACAGGTGATGGATACTGGGGGAGGAATCTGACAGGGAGAATCAGACTGAGGATTGGGGGGTCACAGACTAGGTATGTGATGGGGTGACAGACTAGGGGTGTGATGGGGGTTGACTGACAGGGAGAATCAAAGTGGGGGCGTGGGGGAGGTGATGAGGTCGGGGAGGGGGGGGGGGTTACTGAATATGGAAAGGAGGGAGATTGAGCTGAGAAAAATGAAGATCCGGATATGGAGGGTGGGGGCACAGAGGAATAAATAATATTAAGTAAATAAAGAGCAGGATCTGCTAGGATGACAGCGGCGACAAATAAATAGATAGACAGAATGAGGGAGGGGGGAGGGCAGGCGGTGCGGGGGGGGTTGAGGGACAGTTACCGCTGCAGGCGAGCAATGCAGGAGCCGGTTATTATAGAGAGACAGCCATGGGGGGCCGGGAGGAATAATGGGGGTAACCTGCACGGTGCAGGGAGGGGGAGGAAGGAGAGCTCCAGTCTGCAGATGGAGAGCAGGGGGGTTGGGGGGGAGGGGAGGGAGGTGCTGCAGCAATGCATTGTGGGCAATGTGGTCTGGCCTCTGGTGCCTGTACCTGGTGCCTGTAGTTATGTCTGGCTCTCCAACAATGTCTCTATTTACTGTCTGATTGCCTTCTGCAATGTACTTATCGCTGTTACAGCATGGATCCAGTGTATTTTAGTCCATTTGCAACAATTATTTAATTATATCTGTTTATCTGTCTCACTTGTGTCACTATGCCCATGTCACTTCTTCTAATCTCCACAATCTTCAATAAATTCTGCAACAGTTTCTTGTTTCATTTCCCATTGTATTGCACTGCAGTATATGCATGTTATATCAATATGCATTGTGCTGGGCTCTGAGCATCTTTGTGTTTACTGACATAGTGCCAATATTCCTCTATGATATTATTTATTTCAGTAGAATATACCCTACCTGCTCACCATGAGCACATCAGAGAGCGGCGCAGTGAAGGGTTATGGTGCCCTCTCCAAATTTCAGCCAGGCAAATTTCTGTTACAGTTTACATTTACAGCACCTGCAAAGCATGTATCGTCAACCCTTAGTCACCTTTAGGCGCAACCCTAAACGTTTCCTCTTCAAATGCTGAACAATTCCTGTGTTAGCGAATAACCCTGTCAATTGCGGTGAATCGTGGCAATATATAGTCAAGATGCGGCTATAGCTGAAAGAATTTCCCCCCAATATTACCCATGCTGGCCTAAATAATGCTGTTTCACTTTTCAATTCGCGTACAATTTTGGGGTTTAGTGAATATTTTTGTTTGCTAACAGTTCACAAGTACCTGTAGCTTGTAAACTTAGAAGATTAATATATAGCAAAAAGTAAAATGACACTGCTAACTATTAGCCTGAGCCTTTTAGAACAAGTTGATTATAATCAAGGACATTCTGTAGATGTCAAGCAAAATAGGCTGAAAATACTAAGAATTTATATAGTAACAATGTATTCCACAGCACCTTTAATGTTTTATATTCAGAATACAAAATAGGAAATCGACAATGGGAAAGGTAAATGCAAAGGGTAAATGATAAAATAGCATAGATAACACTCCAATTCGTCTGTATTACTAGCTTGGCTATTTAGTTTTTCTAAGGTAGGCAACCTTTTAGCAGCACTGTGCCTAAATAAGATTGTGATGTCCTATTTTTTTAAATTCAGGTATGTATGTTGCTGTATTCTGCTTGTGTTATTTATACTGCGGAATTTGTTGGCGTTATATAAATAATAACATAATAATACTGCAGTTGTTTTGTATCGTTGTATTTGTGCGTATATATGAGTTATTATATTGTATATGTTCACAAGTAGTTTGTGGTGTTGAATGTGGGCTGTGTATGGGGCTGCTTGTGTAATTGTGTGTGGATGGATATGTCACATTGTGTGTTTGGTAGTGTGTGTGTGTGTGTGTGTGTATGTGTGGGGCTATTTGGGTTATTGCATGTGATAGGCTGCATGTGGGGTTGTGTGCATGTATGTGGATTGTTAGTGGTGTTGAGTTTGTGGGGATTGTGTGTATGTTTGTGTGTGGGCTGTTCCTTTATTTGTAGGAGGGGAGGGTTATTCTGCATTTCTGTGTAAATCTAGCAGTGTGGGTGGCTTCCCTGGAGTGCAGTGTGGACCAGGATGGCCAGGAACAGGTCAAGAAGAGGAACTGTAACATCAGCTGTGGGCTGTTTGGCTCTAGCAGCCTTGAGTACCGTGCAAAGACACCTCGAGTGTCGTGCATGGCACACATGCCATAGGTTGCCTACCCCTGTTCTAACTTCTTTGTTTAGTGAATAACCTCAAATTAATGGATTTGCGAAAATTACACATATTAACATGGCTGTTGCTATTGCTTTAGTAATTACCCCAGACTGCCGATTGTCACCCAGTCTTTCTTATTATTTGTACAAGGGCAGTGTACTATGTTGTGTTTATTGGGGCAAAGTGTTTAATCAAGGTTATGTAGACCAAAACATCACTTTTTTACATTTAAATAGTGATGCATATTTTTGGAAAAGTGGTGACTCTAAATTGTGTACCCTAAAATTCTTTGAGAATCTTTGCTGCTCCACAATCAGTTGTCCTTTTGACACTGAGGGACTGACAGCGCTGTTTCATAACAAATATCTGTACATCCAGCACAAATTCCAGCTTTAATGTTATCTTTGTTCCCACCTGCAAACATTTCTGTGGATGTCAAAGAATTTACAAAGTTACATACCTCCCAACAGTTTAAATAGACAAAGAGAGACACTTTAATTTTAACGTGAGTAAAGGTGTGGCCAAGCGTGGGGCTGTTCTGTGAAGTTTTATGCAAGTAATACAAATAAAATTTCATTTAGAACAAAAGTTTCTTTTTTTTTTTTTTTTTATCACAGACTGATTTCTAAACACATTATTTGTAGTTTACATGTTACAGGAACACTGTAGTGTTAGGAAAACAAATATGTATTACCAATGCAGTAGTGCTCTAGTCACGGCCCCCTCGTTAACACCTCGAGAGTTAACTTACATTATTTCACATGCAATGGTGCTCTCTCCGCGAATTGTCCCACCTCAAGCATGGTGATTTCAGCCAATTCAGTACTCTCCAGTAGGAAACCAGTGGGAGCCTGTTCTGCATGTGTAGCAAAACTCAGCACCAGTCAGATGGTCTTCTTAGACCAAATGGTGGTTTTCATGTCTGGGCAGAAAGAATACGTCTATAGCAAGTCAGTGGCTAGATATGATCTATCATTAACAGGGTATGATTATATCTAACGCCATCTGACTGAAATCACGCAAGCGGCTCTTGTAGCTGTCATATTAACTGTCACTAGAGGCAGATTAGCCCTGCAATGCAACTTTCAATATTATCCACATTATACAAACACCCTTCACTTGGCTCTAAGTAGGCACACGAGAGGCTTTTAATACTTGTTTCACCAAATTTATACATTAAATATTTTAATAAATTTCAGCATTTCACTGAAGTGGTCTGGTTGTCATGTGTCCCCAGTCTTTACCCTGCCAGGGCAAACATTGTGTTCTACAGAAACATCAATGTTTTCCCTGGCATGGTAAAGGCTGGGGACACATGGCATCCAGACCACTTCATTGAGACGCTGAAATTTATTAAAATATTTAATGTAAGAATGTGGTGAAACAAATATTAAAAGCCTCTCGTGTGCCTACTTAGAGCCAAGTGAAGGGTGTTTGTATAATGTGGATACAGCTTTATAAAGACTAGTGAACATAGGTTGCACAAGCCTTGCAGCATGTCTGCCAGCTCTACAGAGCAGGTCCCAACATGCTCTACTCATTACATTCCAAGATCTTGTTTACCAACAAGCTGTGTTCATTGTCCAGACTGTAAGATAGCTAATAAAGCTGTAATAAACCCAGCTGGGCGGGACTTGCTGTCAACCAATAGCTTACACTTATGTAAGCGCTTGAGAGAAGACGGTTTTTGTGGTTTGACAGACGCAAAAACCAACCAATCGTAATCAAGTTTAGGTCTGTGTACCACCAGTCACCGCCTTCCCCAGTTGTCCCATCCGAAATAAAGCTTGGCGAAAGGGAAGCGACGGCAACCAATCAGCGACAAGCATTGTGATGGACAGCGCTGTTGTCCTATCCAGTATGAGCTCTGTAGATCGCTTCCTCCAATCAGATTCGTGTCCTCTCCCGTGACATCCCACGACTTGTCCCGGCTAGGGTCCGATCTGTCAGTTGCCATGGCGGCGGCTGCTGGCAGCCCCGGGGCGGCCTATGAGTGTAATATCTGCCTGGAGACTGCCCGGGAGCCGGTGGTCAGTGTGTGTGGTCACCTGTACTGGTGGGTGTTTGGTGAGATGGACAGGGGGGTCAGTGAAGGGTTAATGTCATTATTGGGTGATATCCCCAGGGATCTCATGGTGTTTTATATTGGGGGGATATTAATATAAACAATGTGGGGGCCCAGCCAGCCCCAGCTCCCCCATGGCTGCAGGTACACATGGCTATGGCCTTCAGTAAACAGTGACCTGAAACCTGAATGGTAAAATCTAGGCTGAAATATCCTGGCTGGAAATACTTCTTCCAGTAAAGCTATTCTGGCCTCAATTTTCACATTTACTTCCTAATTCACTGTTTAGTGAATACGTCCTTGCATCATACATTTATTTATGCCTAATATTACAGACACCTACACACATTGCTATATATATGTAGAGATTGTAGCCGTATTAGTCCAGTGATGTAGATGTAAAAAAACAGATAAAATTCTTATCTTGTAATACCTATTTTATTGGACTAACAGAATTTTTTAATGACAAGCTTTCGGGAGAACCTCCCTTTCTCAAGTCTGAAGCATTTCGAGAAAGGGAGGTTCTCCCGAAAGCTTGTCATTAAAAAATTCTGTTAGTCCAATAAAAAAGGTATTACAAGATAAGAATTGTATCTGTTTTTTTTTTTTTTAACATATATACGTAAACCTCACACATTGTGCCTCACACTGAATACATGTAGTTTATTTATAAATGCACAATTGGGCAAAGTTCTGAAAATGGAATGATTGTCTTGAAAATGAAAGAAACCATCCTGATAAACACGGCTTAGCGAACTTGCTCTTTATAAATAACCCTGATTGCGTAACACGCAAGGAAAGGAGATGCAGTAATCGAAGCCGGATAGCTAAATCCAGCACACAAGCACTCAGCTGCTATCACACACAGACCACTTTATCAAATACTTTTAAAATATAGGAGTACAGATATGAGTAACATCAGCATTTGTCCCCACCCCTTCGAAAACCAAAAACTCTTATTGACAAATTTGTATGTGACTGGTTACGATAGGTATTTGTTAATTGAAATGTTTGTGTGTCAGGGTGTAGTATACTACCTGCAACTTCTAATATGTCGTATAGAAAGTATGTATTCATTCTTCTCTAGTTATAGTATAGAACCCATTAAACATCTGTTTTCTCAGCACAGTAAAGCTGTCATCCTATAGTTTGCAAAGAAGTGTAGTGAATTGTACACTATGTATGATGCCCAGCAGCCCTTTAAAAAAATAAACACTCCAAGCACCATAACCAGCACTCTGTAGTGGTTATGAAGTCAGCTTAGCTGGTAAATTAGGTGGTGGTTCTACTTGATTATATTTTACCTACATATTAATGTTTCAATTTGAAAGTTTGAGCAGTTGATTACGCCAAACATGTTAGTAGATTAGGGGCCTAATGGATTTTTGTCCCTGGCAGCCTAGCACAGCTTGTCAAAATGAAATTGAAATCTGGATTTGCAGCAATTAATAGGCTTGTTGGCAGAACCTGGCGGATAATTAGTGATTTCACAGTTCACTAGCTCATGTGTTGAGACCCCTTGAAAAGGACACGTACCATGGACTCTATCTCCTGTCTTATTGTAAATCTGTACATGCAATTTGAAATAAATTCAGATTTCTCCCTTCCATTAATATTACAGGATATGACGTGTTATCTGTATATACAGAATGCATGTAAGAAACACAGCGCTACTTTATGTATGCAGACTTATTTATTGTTTTTTTGTTTTCTTCCTCCTTTCCAGCTGGCCTTGTCTTCATCAGGTATGTCTGCCTTGTAAATATGTAAATTTTCTATGCAAATTAAAGTGTTAGATAAATTGTTTATGCCTTGCATACTATAATATGTGTTTATCCCTTTTTTGTTTCTGTTTTCTGCAGCAGTTTAAATCCATTTTTTTTGTTTGATGCTAGTTTGGAATAGTTTTTGACCTACAGCCACACACCAGGTTACCGTGTTCTTTAGAGGAGAGAGACACCTTGTGTAAACTTGGCATTTAGAAATCTAGCTAAAAGATAATGTAGTGTAGAAATGAGTGTTCATTTTCATGTTAAACAGGTAATCACAGAATGAACACATTTCTAGGATAACAATTTTTATATATGGCTATAGAAAGCAAGCATGTAAGCAATCTCTTTTCAAACCAGGAAATGACTGAACAGTCCTGGTCTAGCATTATATACATGAACATGTTAATCCATTTAACCACTGAAGTGAAACCATTTCCCAAGATAACATAAGGAAGATAAAAGGCAGAATAAAATGGATAGTGTGTAACTCCTTATTTAAGGGTTTCTCCTTGATTTGGAGATGATATCTTTGCCAATATCTGGTCTATTGTAAAACTAAACTGGAGAAGCACTGCAAATGTATGTGCCGTGTTTACCCAGTAAAACTCTGTGGGAACTGGTCAGGACAACCTCCGCAGCGCCCATTGATTGCATGTGGAGGGGGGAATGCCCAAGTCTGTGCTGAATGACAATGAAGAAACAAAATTACAAAGATAAGAGAGAATATTTTTTGTTTTCCTTATTTATTTTACAAGTTTACTTTCTTGCAACAAAAGCATTGGTACATATTTTAGGGTTGTCAAGTGTATAAATATGTTTGTTATATACACCTTGATGACAAGTTCACATTCAGGTACGTTATAGGTTCAATCTATACTCGGTGCCCGCATAATACTTATTTAACAGATATAATTACTTGAATATTCCTTCCTCCTGACCTATCATGGCATCCTCGAATGGATGGAGTGGTCCACACACAGCTGCCGGCCCTCACCTATGAGCAGCTCCATGCAATTTCCAACATGTGCACACATGCATGTAGATGTGCGATTCCTCTGCATCAGTTAAAGGGGTGCTAGGATGTATACATAGCCACTAGTGATCCCAAAATATTTTGCTCTTGACATAGTTTTACAGCTGTAACAGTGTAGTGGTAAAGCCTAATGAGGTCAAAATTAAATGCTAAATAAATTTTCTAGCATGTTGTCTAGAACAGTTTGTAGATGGCCTGTCACATTCTCCAAAGTTATACCAAGTCATGCTTGTTTTGATGGATGCACTCTAGCAAGTTATACAAAATCATCATGTAAATAATTATTCTGTGTGTGCTGCTCACCTCTCTGGCTACCGCAACGTCATGGAGGAAGCATGACCTCTTCCGCTATGTTCCAGTCCAGTGCTTGAGAATCTGATGCACATGCGCGGCGAGTGCTGTCCGCATCCATACTTCACAATGGGATAGCCTTGTATTCAGTGATTTCCTATAGGATTTTGCTTCATGTGACAAAGTCAGCACCACGGAAGCGCCTTTAGTGGTGGTCAGTATAACAACTTCTAGAGGTGGATTCTATTAAAAAAATGCAATGGTTTACAATGAAGGATTAAAAGGACACTACAGGCACCCAGACAACTCATTGAAGTGGTCTGGTTACACTGTCCCAGTCCCCTTAACCCAGCAAAGGTAATTATTGCAGTTTTCAATTAATTGCCATAATTACCTTTATTTGTTAACTCCAACTCTAGTGGCTGTCTGGAGGTGGATTTCCCATGCTTCCTGTGGGGAAATCCTAATGTGAATGTGGCCATTGCTGCATGAGGGGAGCCTGACCTCCAGCTAGCAACTCTGGACTGAGATAAGTGACAGAAGGGGTTTTTAACCTCTTCTGCACCACGGGGAGGATGAAGGGCACTATAGGGAGTTTTAGTGTCAGGAAAACAACTTTGCTTTCCTGGCACTATAGTTTCCCTTTAACCCCTTAAGGACACATGACGTGTGACATGTCATGATTCCCTTTTATTCCAAAGTGTGGTCCTTAAGGGGTTAATGTAGCAATGAATCTTTATTTAGGTCAATTTTTAAAAAAAAAAGCATTTCCGTCCCAGTTACCTTAAAGTGGAGCTATTTTTTTTTTTTTCACATCATATTACAATACACTATGTGGGTATGTTTTTTTGGGAAAGGTGGAGTTAATGTTAACCTTTTGGAGACACTGAACATCTCACTTACTGGCACCACACATTTCCTGGAGCTTGATAGTCCTCATTGTTCACGCATTGAAAACAATGTAAGATTGAGTGCGAGTTACATCATGTGCATGCACGTGCCTTGCTTCAGCCGTACAGTCAGTGGAAGCTGAGTGTGTTATACAGCCACAGTTGCGTCCAACGCAGAATTCCATTGATAATTTTAAATGCATGGTAAACACTACATTTGTGCATTCACTACAGATAGCAGGGTGAATACTAAACCTAAATCTACTTTCAGTCAAACGATTTAACAATTGTTTTCATTTCCATCTAGTTAAATAATGGTGCCTATGTTGTCCCTTTAATACAATCTTCCAATGCGCAAAGTTAAAAAAAAGTTATAACTGTGATTGCTCATGCTTGGATTTTGGATTTTGTTGTGGGTGTTTTTGTTTTGATTTCTTGCAGATAGCTTGATATTTACGACCTTGGAGGCTGCTGTCATATCTAGCATGGATGAGTGACTTGGTCAATTTAGATTGTGTCAGGGAAGCACATTAGACACGGATGTTGGCAAACTGCTATTTCAATGAAGAGCCGAGAGAATTCTTTCATTAATCTCGTCAGCCTTTATGTATTTATAAGTGTACCAGTCAGGATTTATGATGAACTGGGCATTTTCATTGTCTGTTTAATAGATTTTTGGATGCTTCCCAAATATACACTACAGGTTAAATATACAAGAGCTGTCTTTTTGGGAGGTTCACTAGGCCAACTAGAAAATGCATTAGCCGTGTCAAAGCACAGTCAGGGCGAATGTTCTCTTATGGTCCATGTTACATCTAGGAAGCATCAGTTTTGTTATTCAGAGCTTTGCTATGTAGAGCATTGAGAGTGAAATGGAAGTTTAAAATCAGTATTTGCAGGGATTGAAGCACTAGTAACACAACTCTCTCCTTGCACCAAGAAACATGTATTAGAATAATGTGACTGCATTATAGGAGGATTCTATCTCTGTACACTTGCTATGGCCAACGTAAAGCTTTTTATAAATACATGACTTAGATTGATAATAGTGCCACTAATGGAAAAATAGAGCGATCACCATACAAAACCAATAGAATGATTCTGCTGTGTATGTGTGTTTAGCCATATTTTAGAACTTTACACTTTTCTGTTTGCACACTTTATTTATCTCCCTTTGCATTTGCACAGCGCAGTGGTTCAATCTCCTTGTGAGGACAGGCTGGTGTGGATTGTTATTTAATTGCATGCCATGGTCTGAAAATCTGTTGCCTCTGGATTGCTTTTTGCAGTTTGTATTTATGTACTGTGAGCCCGTTGTTTTTTTAATGTTGTTTGAAGCACTGATTATTTAAAAAAAAAAAAAAAATTTCTCCATATGGACTGTGGTAGTATAGCAGTTTGACTTTGTCTCCGTTCCTCTGTGTGGACAGGCAGCACATAGCCTAAAAAATAAATAATAATAATTAGTACAAATGAGGGCAACAACCACGGGGAGCTGCCCTTAGGACTCTGTAGTACTGTTTTCCTCTTGCTTCCAAACAAGCACTGCTTTGCTGGCCAGGTGCCAACATTTGTATGTGTTTGGAAGACATGCCAAATGTCTGTGTTCCAAGCGAAATGGTCAATCTTATGGAACTGGTCAAAGAATAATTTTGGAAGATTCCAAGAAATGAACAACTCTGAAATTCTACCTGGCTGATTTCTTCTGCACAACTGCAACTTTGCAGCCTGGCACAGGAAATTCTAAAGGCAAATTACATTGGTTTGGCAGTCCTAGATATTCTGAAACCAGCCAATAAATCTTCCAACAGCATCAACATGGTGTATGTTCTCTGGATTAGATGCCCCTATTTGTTTACATTCCAGATATCCTAAAACCTCTCCCCAGTGGCCATAACTTTGGCCAAAGGTCTTGGGGAACTTTGAAATCTGGGCTTCGAGTAGTTCTTCATTCAGATAAATTGGTTCCCAAGTTACTCCATGCAGTCAAACCAAAGGTGGATAACTTGGATAACTTCACGTCAAGAGGTTGTGATTCCAACTTTTTTGGAGGAAAAAAACTGCACAATTTGAATGGAAAAAAACCAACCAAAAACTATCTGGCCTCTCAAGTAACCGTTTCAGCAGAACACGTTTATTAAGTAGTGGCTTGGTCCTCGTTCCATACTTTTATTCAGTATTATCGAGTTAAGCAACTAAGCTTTCTAGGAAGTCACCCTGGTGTGAAGGGTGCTTCGAGCAATTGTTTCATAAAGGGACAAAGCTTTTGGATTCTCTTGTTACATCCCAGTCTTCGTACAGCTGCTCTCCTATGGAAAAAACTATTTAACTCACAGTAAATATAATTTTCCATGGAACTGGTGGCAGTATGAACTCCCTCCCTTGTTTTATTAAATATTTATACTTTTGCATGAATGAGTGTAGTGTTTTGTCAGTCTGGGGTGCTGTGGTTGTTTCTCTTATTTATACTAATGAGGGAGGGGGTGGGGGGGGTGTGACCTTATTTATTTACATTTACAATTTTAGGATAAGTGCAGCCTGTCCATACAAAATAGCATTGGCAAAACCCAATCATTATACTGCCGCTAAATCTATGGAAAAGGAAATTGATGATGAGTGAACATTTTTGTTCTGATTCTGTTTATATCATTGCCTAAAGTAGCTGACACTGTGTTGTCTTCCAGTGGTTGGAGACCCGACCTGATCGTCAGGAATGTCCTGTGTGTAAGGCGGGTGTCAGCAGAGAGAATGTTATCCCAATATATGGCAGAGGAGGCACGAACCAACAGGACCCCAGGTAAAGCAGTGACATGAACATAAAGAGACTATTTCTATAGGTCTATCCTCCCATTACATGGAGGGGTGTAAGCACTTTAAACATTTTATCTACATGCTAATTCCTCCTGTTATATAGGGGTCTGCGAGAAGGATTTTTATATTTAAATGTGATGCCTACATATCGGTCCCTTTCTTTATAGTGGATCATTTTGGTAATGTGATAGCAGTGATTCTTCGCTATAAAGAGTGGTATTTCGGTGTCCTAGTATGGAACAGTATCTGTGTCACTCACTGATAAAGAATGCAATCAGGACATATTGTTTCTTCTGTTGTAGTATAGATATATGTTAAAGCTACAAAAGTTACACTGACCAACAAAGAGGTTATGGTGTGGTTTTATGCAGCAGCATGATATTATAGAATCGGTCATCGAATAAGAAGAGTATCAGCAAACCTGTTCCTACTGTTGCAGTGTGGGTCTATGGTAAGGTGACATCAGTATGGCAATATACATACATTAATTTCCATGTCTTCCTCCTGTCCTTCAGATTAAAGACTCCACCTAGACCTCCGGGACAGAGACCGGAGCCAGAGAACAGAGCAGCAGGGGTACGTTAATCATCTGATGAGTTCTTGACGTTCCCTGTGTCGCTCAGTCTGGTGATTGTTTATTATTGTTCTATTCTAATACCCTTATGAAAGAGTTGATAGAGTTGAGTTGTTAATGTTTGGAGTAGTTTCACACTTTAAATAATAAAATCAATGTCTAGGCTCAGGCAGATAGGAGAGTACATGGCAAATTTGTATTTTAATAACAACATAATAACCTGCATCATTTGCATGAAAATATTGACCAATAACCAGTTAGAATACAATTAGAGTGGGACAAATAAGAGACAAAATACAACACTTTTCTATCACATGGGAGTGGATGCCCCACTGAACATCTTTGCTCTAAATACTTTATCTTTAAGAGTTTCACATGTTTAGTTCCATTACTATTGTTCCTGTTTGAAGTAGGACACTTTCCATGTGCCATATGCCATGCAGATCAGTCTTAAAGGAACACAAGTCACCAAAACAACTTTAGTCTAATGAAGCAGTATTGGTGTATTTATCATGCCTCTGAAGTCTCTCTGCTCAATTCTTTGCCATTTAGAAGTTAAATAATTGTTGTTGCTGTTCATGCATCCCTAGTCACACTTCTCCTGGCAGTGACTGACACCGTCTGCATTGAAAAAAATGGTTTCATTTTCAACTAAATGTTACTTTTAAACTTTTTACCTCCTGCTCTGTAAATTGAACTTTAAATACACTAAATAGAATTTTCAATAAAGGAAGTGTAAACATTAGATGACTCTTTGCAGGAAGTGTTTAGGAAGGCTGTGTAAGTCACATGCAGGGAGGTGTGACTAGCGCTGCATAAACAAAGCGATTTAACTCCTAAATGGCAGAAAATTGAGCAGCGAAATCTATACACCAAAACTGCTTCATTAAACTAAAGTTGTTTTGGTTACTCCAGTGTCCCTTTTTATTTTCTGTTTTCATTCACTGTATTTTCAGGGCTAAACCGTTCAGTGGAGTATTACAAGTGGGGCGGGGGGGAGAGAGAGTGTGTGTGTGTGTGTGTGTATATACAGATTAAAAAAGATAGGTAGTGTTACACTACTTTAATGCAGAGTTGTGATGGTACTTAGTCGCTCTTTAACAATTCATAAATATGACAAGATGAAAGCAGAAAGCTCTACTCCGTTAAGTAAAATATACTGTCTAACAGCTGCGGATTTTATACTTATGTTAATTTTAGATTTTATGTGTACACTTAAACTGCACTTTTGCCAGAAAACCATATTTGTTTGTTAAATGGGCTTCTGATCAATGTTTAACTTTCACATTGTATTTTTTCTTTTATCCCACCCTGTCATTTCTTGTTTCCTCACACCTTTTATTGGTTTCCTTGACATTTTTCCTGTTCCTTTGCCCTCTGTACTGAATGTCCTGTCTGCTCTCATGATCTTTCCTCCAACCATCTCTTTCTATCCTTTGTATTTTTCTCAGGGGGTTCCAGGATTCACAGACACAGGCTTCCACATGTCTTTTGGCATCGGAGCTTTCCCTTTTGGCTTTTTCACTACCGTCTTCAATACTAATGAATTTCACTCCGCCCCCCGCGCAGGTAACACACATACAGTCCATTAACCCTACCTTGCACGTGTCCTCATCTCCCCCTTTCCCCCACCACGAAGATAATGTTACCTTTGAACAGCATCCACGTTTTTGGTAACCTCACTATCCGTTAAAGCAATTAACTGGTCACTTCTGCTGTATGAGCCTAATATCTGCCCCCACTGTGAGGGGAAAGCCTGCACTCCATGCATATCAGGGACATCACTTTCAGACTAGTATGCCTTTCCGTGTGCTTGTAGTTCTGTAGTATCATTATAGGGTTCTTTTAGGTACCCCCTAGAAACCATTTTCCATTAATCACTAAAGCATAAAAACTAATGTATGATGTATTACAGAGTTTTCCAACAGTTCAGATATTCTGGAAAAAAAATTGTGAAACCCGTTTTTTATTTTTTTTGTTCTTAAAATTTTATTTTACAAGCTCCTTTACTTGGTTACATGCAGGTATTTTACACCGAAAAACTGGGGGTGAGTTTCTAGCACTTTTGGTGTAGTGATGAAGGCAGCTGAAACAACCCAAACCAGAGTTTCTTTTCCGATTAGAGGAAGGATGTGTACATATAATGGAGGGAGCAGTGCCTAAAGGTATTCTCGAATGTGGCAGAGTAGGAAACAATACAATGGAACATATGGATTGGAGTGAAAAAAGAAATAAAGAGAGACTTACAGTGTATAGAGTTATAAGTAAGCTATCCTTTTTTTGCGCCTGGGCATTATGATCCCTACCTGAGGATGTAAGGAATATCTCATGATCCAATGGGGGATGGTGCAGAGATTATAAATAAAAATAGATGAGGGAGTATTGTATAAAGATATACACTCACATTTTATGGAGCCTAAAGTTGGCTCCAAATAGCATGAAATTGTATAAACCCTGTTCTTGGATATGTTTGTTGTAGTGATCCTCACCGTTATGATATCTAAAAGAAAAACAAATAAAATATAGTGCACACCGTATATTAAAAGGTGTTAAGATAACTGGAACTTTACTCACAAGTGTGGAGAAAAAAAACCTCATTGCGTAGGTGGTTTATTCCCCACCAAGGAATATGATGTCCAGGTACCAGGGGCCAAACAGAAAGGTCCAGGAGCAAAACAGAAAGGTCCAGGTCTAATCCCTCATTGGATGAAGAGATACACCTTACATCCTCAGACTGGGATCATTATGCCCAGGTGCAAAAAAAATAGAACTTGCTGATAGCTCTACACATGTTAAATGCATCTCCAGTATTAAAATTACTACATAATATAGTTGTTCTACTGTTTCCTTGTCTCGTTTCATACTCTACCACACCTGAGGATCCCTTTTAGGCACTGCTCCCTCGATTATATGTACACATTTTACACTGAGAAGCTGTCACATCTTCATTTAATAGTAGACCCCCTACTATATGTAACTACTCACACAGTCATATCTTGTGTTTTGTCTGAAGTAGATAAAGGGACAATATAGGCTCCCAGACCACTTCAGCTCATTGAAGTGGTCAGGGTGCAGTAGCTCTATTGCACTTAGTGCTACAATGTAAAACATTACAGTTCCATAGAAACTGCAATGTTTACATGATTGCAGCACTAAAGGGACACTGTAGTCACTATGACCACTTTGTCTCTTTGAATTGGTTATAGTGCCTGGAGTGGCCTGGCACTGTCCCTCCATTCAGTGTTGCACAATGTTTGTGCAGCGTGCAACAAAATAGGAGTCCCTGGCCACCCACAGTCTGGCCCCTTCTGTATGTGTAGCTAAGGCAAAGATTACACACTTCCTTGTTGTCATACCCATCCATACCGTCAGTTGGAGCTCTGACAGGTTAAAAGCAGTCAGCTGACACTCTCAGCCAATCACAGCTGCCCATTGCCTCTCAGGGTAATACTTCCTTATTAGCCAAAGCAGCACAGAGTGGTTAGACTGCCGTGGACTCTTGTTTAGCATTAAAACATTACAACATTAAAAACTGTTTAATGCTGAAAGAAATGATGGTACCAGGGGACTCCAGACACTATAACCAGTTTAATGAGATGAAGGAGATACAGTGCCTCCGGTGTTCCTTAAGTCTGCATCCAGTGGCTGTCTCCCAGACAGCCACTGGAGAAGCCTACTGCATCCAAATGAAACTTTGGTCCGTGTCTGAAGCTGGATGTCATCACTCTCTGCATAAGGATATGCAGCGTCAGATTTTTTTTCCCCCCATAGGAAAGCATTGATTCTATGCTTTTCTATGGGGAGGTCCAATGCCCTCGCAGGAAGTTTGAAAAGGAGGAGCTGGGCTCTGGGATCAGGTAAGTAAAGGGTTTTTAACCTTTTATTCACCATGGAGGGTGCACGAGAGGGGCTACAAAAAGCTCAAAATCAGGGGCATGCCTTTTAAACACCCCCACACTTAAATGGATACTATAAATGCCTGGAATACAAAGCTGTGTTTGTGGTACTTATAGTATCCCTTTAAGTGTGGGGATGTTTAAAAGGCATGCCCCCTGCTTTTGAGAATAATTACTGTGTTTTGCCAATCCTATAGCTGGCAAAGCACCATTGTATTTGTGGATCTATAACAGGTGGTCTACTTTTTTTAGAAATGTTTGATGTACCATGATTCCCATTAGGAAGAAGCATGCTGAGTTTAGGAAATATAGTAGTAAGGAAGAGAAAATCTATTTATAATTTACCTTGAAAAATACAGAATTATTTCAAATATGAATGTTTTTATTATTTTTTATATTTTCAACTGAATGTAGTAACTGTTTTCCCAAATGTCTCCTCTTTTTCTTAGAAACTGGGCTGGCTCCAGGAAGATTTTTTGGATTGCCGGATTCCCTCTTCCTATTGATTGCCGTTTTCTTCTTTTTCTGGCTAATCAGCGTATGAGACCCAAACACTCCTGTACACTAGTACTCAAAAGCTGAGATTGCAGAACAATCCCTCATCCCAAGACACTTCTTGCATTCTGAGCCCCCTTCCAGGGGATATTCCCATAATTAACACTCCATGCCATATTGGACGGTTAAAATATATAATTCTATATATTCCGACAACAAAGTCTTCATGTAAAAGCATTTTTTTTTTTTGCTTGCTGGGCACTTTATAAATGTTAATTTTGAGGGTATTGTAAAGTATATGAAAGCTTTATTTGTAATCCTATACTGTACATCACCTTTCTTTTGTCCCACTCCTTTTATTGCACATTATCAACAGTTTACTTGGAAAATCATGGACTAAATGTTGCTGGACTATAGCGGTCCAGCATGGCAACTTTTAGCGTTTTTTATGTCTGAATTAGTAATTATTCTCGTTCACTGACATTAAGCTTTCCTAATCTTTTTCAATGTGGGGATTTTTCACTATGGTGCTTATGCTCTATAAAACTGCCCCAACCACATCTAAATCTTAAGTATAGAAGGTTCTTTGTTTCAAAGAATTGTATAGGTTTACTATTCTTTGTTTTGGTTTTCCTCTACTAGAGCACAACTATTATTTGTTTAGAAAATGAAGTGGCCATCAGGCTGTGACATAGATTACCAAGTTTTCTATAAAAATGCAGACACTAAATGCACTATACATCCCTTATGGGGAGTCCTTTCCATTAAGGTTGCCAGCCTTAACCCTACTAACTGCTATGACGTGCATGTATAACTTTCTTACTCCACTAGGTGACAGCACTGGCCTTATAAGTGTGAGGTGTTGGTTTATCCATCAGATAGACAGAGGTGCTGATAATCCAGTTATTAAACACACTGATAAATTTGCTAAATCAAAGCACTATGCCCCATGCAGTGGCTACCACTGAGTAACTGTACTTCAGGAAACTGGTTTTCTCATTAAAATACTATCTCCATAAATTGTTTCTGTTATCAAAATTGGTTGTTTCCTGCACTGTTATAGTTTGTATGCAGGAAAGACTGGCACAGTTATGGCATTTGTGCAAGAGAGATAGCCAGTATGTATGTGCATAAATCATTATTTTGTTTTTTTTTGTATGTGAAAAAGGAAGAGCAGTACATATACCAGGGCTCACAATCTCCACTAGTCATTGGTGAGGGAAAATGTAGACCTGGAGATTACAAATTCAGCCCTGGCAAGTGTGACATGGACTCTCCAGGTTTGCAGTGGCTAGTAGTGAAGAAATTGAAATTTTAAGCCCTGTGTATATATAATGTGTTGTGTTGTGAATTGGAACCAGGCGTGCACAGTAAACCAATGCAGAGAATTGTTGTGTTGTGCATTAGCCTCAACTATTGCTGGAGAGTTCTACAAGTTCAGTCCCAATCTGCCCAACACTAGCCATTCTCATACCATTCTAAACGCAAACACATATCAAAATGCATTGTGTTATATTTATATGTATATAAATATATGTGTTTGCACAGGCCAATCTAACCTTGGCCTCTCTTAGTTAATTCATTTTAAAAAATATGGCTTTCTTTAGTCCTTTGCAACATCTGGTGTATTCTCCCTAAAATGTTCGAATTAAATCCATTGCAATCTGGGGCTAGTCATGCATCAGAAAGACGAAGGAACAAGAAGTGGAGGCTTTGCAATTTACCAAGACGTCAATAAACATTATGAAATACCCTTGCTCTGGTTCGAGCGATGAATTCCTTGCTGTTGTGATTGTACTCCCCTCTTTCGTGTTTGTTTAGTGACCCCTCCATTGATTACTCTGTTGGGAAAATACATCCTATAAATCTGCTCTGAGTTATTGTCACCAGTACATTCAGGAAATGTTAGCCTTCAGTGCTTCCTACATGATCTAAATAATAGCACATTCTATACATGAAACGGATAATGACCTCAGCAATTTGAGTTCTTACAGGTCTATTATAACCCTGTGTATTTAAAACCTCTCAAGCCAATCCCCAATACATTTTGGGCTCACCTAAAATGGGAGATAAAGACGCGTTCAAATACCATATATCTGTAGCAACGACTTCATTGCTTGCTCTAGTACTTGGAGCATTCCCCAGCCCAGATTTTGTGCTGCAGAAGAAGTAGGGCGTGTAAGGGCTGCCGACAAGAGATGTGCAGCTTTTGCAAGCTGTTTTAGACATAACCAAGTAAAAACGCAGGATTAAATGCATGCATCTTTACATTTGGGGTATATTTACTAAAATGTCTTCAATGGAGTACTGGATTATGCACTAAAAAGATAACTGAGCATCTCCTAGATTCTAAAATAAGATCTTAGTTATGGCCAAACCAGCTACCAGCTCAGTGCACCATAAACCGCTTGTTCTATAACATCTTCTGTAGTATCTGGTCATATTACTCAGATTCTAGGAAATGGTAAGAGTGGTCCAAACTTCAGTGTCTAACTATGACTTCTATCCAGAGTTCATATACTATCAAAAATCTTGGGGAAAATTGTCAATTTGCAACTGGTTCGGTATTATCAAACAAAATAGCTGCTTCAATCTGGCGTTGCTCAAACCACAATATCTGCTCTGCTAAATGTTTGTAATGATTTTCAGAGTGGCCTGGAACACTGCGATCGTAGTAGACCTGATACCATTACCCAATTCTTCTGAAATAAATAGATGATCTCAAGTATAGGAGAACATTCCTTAAATTGATTCTGTTCTTGTTTGTCAGATAAACCCCAACATGTACGTATTCCACAATGTTATGTGTGGAGATTCCATTCCGTGGCCCCTTTTCTTTTATAGAAGCATAAATGACCTCCGCTGTGCACATGGTGAAAACATTTATAATGGTGTTTGGAACAAAATAAAACATTAACAAACTATAATTTGGCCCCAGGAAACTCCTATAAATATCATGGGATGAAAATGGACCCTGATTTCTCATTAGGACCTCATGCTGATCATTTATCTAAAGTGTACGTTAAAATTGTAATTTCATTTTTCCAAAATAAATACAATGTTCCTTAAATCCAATTGTGAAACAATGGATGGACAGTAGCTGCTAATGCCAGTAACTACAGGGCTGTATAATAACACATTCTATAATTCATCTTAATTTGTCCTCCAATCTGATTACACTATCGATCATTGTGATATTTTAACTGAAATGGCTGATTTTATGAATCAAGACTAACCACTACAAGTTTACTCTAAGCTCCCACAGTACCAGAACAATGTACTTAGCCTTGCCCTCCTCAGCCCCAACAACCAGAGGCCTACATTCCGCACCTTACTCTCCCCTGTTACAAGTTGGTTACGCACCACAATTGTGTTATAGCCTTTCAGAAAACACTAAATGCACCACAAGCCTGCTATCTCTTGCTGTCTCCAAACACACTACTTTAATAGATGATGTGATATTGGCATTTAATATACTACTTTTTTATTAAAAAATATATCCAAATTCAAGAGAGCATTCATCATTCTTAGTCAATCACTTCATCATTTGACTGGTGTTCTTCAGTAATGCAGTCAGCTATGCTAACCCTTGTATTATTGCTATCTAACCAACCCATGCCAAACCTTATATTATTGCTATTCTAACCCACCCCATACCTTGTATTATTGCTATTCTAACTCACACCGAACCTTGTATTATTGCTATTCTAACCCACACTGAACCTTTTATTATTGCTATTCCACCCCACAATGAACCTTGTATTATTGCTATTCCACCCCACACTGAACCTTGTATTATTGCTATTCCACCCCACACTGAACCTTTTATTATTGCTATTCCACGCCACACCGAACCTTCTATTATTGCTATGCTAACCCACCCTGAACCTTGTATTATTGCTATTCCACCCCACACCGAACCCTGTATTATTGCTATTCTACCCCACACCGAACCTTCTATTATTGCTATTCTACCCCACACCGAACCTTCTATTATTGCTATTCTACGCCACACTGAACCCTGTATTATTGCTATTCTACGCCACACCGAACCTTCTATTATTGCTATGCTAACCCACCCTGAACCTTGTATTATTGCTATTCCACCCCACACCGAACCCTGTATTATTGCTATTCTACCCCACACCGAACCTTCTATTATTGCTATTCTACCCCACACCGAACCTTCTATTATTGCTATTCTACGCCACACTGAACCCTGTATTATTGCTATTCTAACCCACACCGTACCTTGTATTATTGCTATTCCACCCCACATCGAACCTTGTATTATTGCTATCTAACCCACACCGAACTTTGTATTATTGCTATTCCACCTCACACCGAACCTTCTATTATTGCTATTCCACCCCACACTGAACTTTGTATTATTGCCATCTACCCACCCCGAACCTTCTATTATTGCTATTCTAACCCACCCTGAATCTTGTATTATTGCTGTTACACCCCACACTGAACCTTGTATTATTGCTATTCTACCCCACACTGAACCCTGTATTATTGCTATTCTGTCCCACACCGAACCTTGTATTATCGCTATTCTAACCCAAAACAGACCTTGACATGTATTGCAATATTAATATGATTATTTTATATTTCTATCAATTATCATAAATCTACCATTAATATAATTGTTTGTTTAAAGTGTAGCAGGGCAATCTATCATTGTTTCTACATTTATATTTGTTATTCGCTGCGATGTAGCGTGGTGTATTGAAAACAAATCCCACCACCACTACTCCCTGACGTAACTAACACATTATAAACCCAACACAAACAGGTTTCAGAATTCTTAGAACTACTTCTGGTCAACACGAAAATTGAGCTCTGCTGAATTGCATGCCAAAATGTATTCCATAAATTTGTTACTGCCTGCTCCATTTAATTTAGAAAAATATTAGTTTGTTAAATAAAAATCTGAGTTTTATTACCTCTCTTACAGTTCCTTAGGCTCTGGGATATGGCTAAGTATAGGGTAGGTTATGTGCAACGATATCACATGTGTGAGGTTTGTGAAATGTGAAAACTGATACCTTGTCAAGGATGCCTTTCCTGCTCTCCATGCACTGTGCCAAGTCCATGACATGACCCTCTTGAGTACCAGGGGTAATCCCTCAAAAGTCCAGAGCAAGTTCATTACTGGGGATGCATACTCACCTCTGCTATAACTCACACTCTTTAAGTAGCTTACTTAATACAGCCCCCTGCTTTTGTCATTGACTTACATCCATCACATCAGGACTCTCCTTTATTCTTAAAGTGAAACAATCTGGAAAAATATCCCGAATTTATGTATTATATATATAAATAGCTTAAAACATGCCTTAAAGGTTTCAATCGATGCATCAGGAAGATGCTCTTATTCCATAATGTCTATGGATATATGGGATATGTAGTTTATCCCCAAAGGGCAGTTCCGCTCATCATTCAGCGTGAGTGGATTTGCTCTGTATAAGGACAGTAACCATATCACATCTGCTACCAGATTACTGTTTAATGAATTGGACTGCATGTACCGATCACTTTAACAGCTGAATACATGTGTCAGACACACACGTTGGGCAGAATTGATACTGGGAGCCTGGTTTCCTTAACTCGGCTAAGGACTGTCTTAGAGCTAAGCCTTTCTCAGAGTTTAAAGCGGGTTTGCGGTGCTCTACCCACCATCAGATTTGCAATTAAGCAAAGTTGTGATGGTGTTCAGATTATTCTGCACCTTTAAATGGTGGATGAATCGTCCACAACTCTAATAACAATAGCAGCCTATTTTCTATGGGGTTTTTTTTTAAAGTATATATTTGTAATTTTATTTTACATTTATCCAATCTAGGACATAATTTGAAAACAAGAAACATCTCTATGTATTCTTTGTTTTAGAAGATGTATACGTTTGTTTCCCAATAATAGGGTGAAGGTTTGTATTTTTGCCACCAGATGTCAGCGCTGATCCTGCTCACTCTGTAATGATATCATACGCACTCATGAAGGAGGGAGGCATGTGTGCGTCTGACGTTTATTTGTATTTCTCTACTTCCTGTCTGTAACAATATCCCTCATTCACTAAATGTCACTAGTCTTTACATTACATCGCTATTGGCCAACTTGTATATTTGTTTCTAATGATAATGTAAGCTCGTCTGAGCAGGGCCCTCAACACCCTCTGTTCCTGTGGGTCCAGCTCGTCTTGTTGCAAATACATGCCTATTGCTCTACCTATTGTACAGCACTACAGAATTTGTTGGCGCTTTATAAATAATAATAATAAAAATCAGTAAGGTTACCCGAACTTGTCACAGATGAAGGCATCATTGTTTTTTATTGACAAGCTGAAAAAAGAAAGCAGGACAAGTGGCAGGGTGAGTCGTGGCATAAAGGTCAATAGCCACAGCTCAGCCACTGTTAGGGACTCGAGACGAGCCATTTAAGCATCATTCTCAATTAAACGGGGGGAGCACAGTTTAGGAGACTGGCCTTAATTATGGGAGATCAAGGGTGAATGCAAGGAGGAGGAGTAGTGTTCCGTCTACTCAAAAAATCAATGTAGTATTTGGAGAATTTTTATTCTAGAATTCTGTATACATTATCTTTTAATTTGTCTGTTTGGGCATGTATATATTATATAAAGGACTCACAACTTTCATTCACTATTGACGAGTGAAAATTAAGCCCTTGTGAGTAGACATTCACCCCTGGTGAATGTGACATGGATGCTGGCAGTGGTTAGTAACTTTTAATTTCTAAGTGTGTATATATACACGCGTACATATGTGAAAGCACGCATATGTTATTAAGTAAGTTTATATATGGTATGGTTTCTTTAATCGGGCAGCACTGACACATATCTGTCCTTACTGTCTGAGATTT